GCTGTTGTTCAGCATCTTAGCTGTGGAGGGCAGTGTCACTGGCCCTCATATGTGGGATCCGAACCGGGGCCCTCTGGCATCCCAAGCCAGCTCTTATCCAATGCGCCACTCGGCCGGCCTGGTTTTTGGTTTTTTGAAAGAATAGAATTGGGGTTTTTTTATTGGGGGAGGGGAACAGACAAGTTGCTGTCCTTTTGTTCTTCAATCTAGTTGTGGAGGACGTTGCTTCACTGGCCCACGTTGGTATTAGCATTGCGTTCTTCCTGGGTCAGGCAGTTGCTCCCCGGCCATTGGACGGCTGCTCACAGGGGGCTCACAACAGCCCACCACAGCAGGGGCTGCAGCCTACGCAGCCACCGGCGACTTACAGTAGCCCAGCTCCAGGTCAAGCTGTTGCTCACCATCTTAGCTGTAGAGGGCGCAGCATCACTGGCCCTCATGTGGGATCCAAACCGGGGCCCTGCTGCTCAGAGCTGGCATCCCAAGCCAACTCTTAGCCAATGCGCCACTCGGCCAGCCCAATTTTATGGTTTTTTTAACACAATTAAAAAAATTTTTTTTGTAATGGATGTGGTTGCATTTGTTGAGATCTTAATCACCAGATTATATGATCTCTGGGACCTAGGACTGGATGGTACCCATTGTCTCTAAGTGCAAGACACATTACCTGATATGGAGAGGGACTGCGTTAATGCTTAATTAAAAATGAATCGCAAAAATAGTCTTTCTTAGCCAGGAGAGATTTAAGAATGGACTCCTGCCATATTGATGTGCTCTCCATGACTTGAGTTAGCAATGGGGAAGGCTGGAAGTTTAAGGCAAAATGCTAGGAACCCTACAAATTGCTTTGCGTATTTGTGCATAAAGATCTAAACGCTATGGACTTGAAGGAATTCTGCACACTTCTTTTAAGTGTCAACCATGGGCAGCCTCTTGGTGCCTAGGTGCTGGAAGGAAGAGGGTACACATCCCAGACACCAAGTAAGGACAGTTCTGTGACAACAGCAGCTTTCACTCCACCTATCGCCCTTCCTCTAAAAGGGTTTTTGGGGTTATCTGGACTTAAGTCACTGCCCAAGTGTCCTGGTTTTTATCTTCTCTCAGTGGGCTTGAGAGCTCTCTTTGTTTTCTTTTTCTATGAAAATCACTTGGTGACTCCATTCCAGTCACCTTTTACCTACGTTTTGTCACCTTTCAGCTACCGGTGTCCCTATACTCACATGTGCCAATCCTGGGATACTTTCCTGCTGAAATGGAGCTCACGATCCAGGAAGCTGGGGTCCTCAACTCTGGGATCCATTAGAATCACCTGGGAAGATTTAAGTAGTGCCAGTTCCCAGGTCCAATCCCAGAGATTCTGATTCAGCTGGTCTTCGGTAGGGGCCAGGAAACTTTTTTAAAGTCCTATGGGTGGTTCCAATGTATATCCAGGGCTGAATCCCAATGCAGGGGGGCAAAGACAAACAATAAACAAGTAAACAAAAAATTACAAAATGGAATAAATGCTCTCTCTATGAAGGAAACAAGGTTGGGGCACGCCGACTCCCCTTCCCTGCCCACACGCCTACTTCTTTCAGCCCCTTGCTCTTGTATGTCTCTCCTGACACAGGGCTTTTGCACAGTTTGTTCCCTCTGTCTGAAGCACCCTTCTCTCCCCTCTTCACTACTTAACTCCTATGCATCCTGCAGATCCTAGCCCAAGTCGCTCTAATGCCGAGGAGCCTTCCCTGATTAAGTCACATTCTCATGGTAGTCATGGCTTTGGTACATGTCACATTGCACAGATGCAACCTCACCTTCGTTTGTGATTATGTACTATTCCTCTCCCCCTTGCTGGCTGTAAGCTTCAGGAGAATGTTTTCTTACCCACCATATCCCCAAAGCCTAACACGGTGCACATTGTAAGGGCTCAGCAAATATTTATGGGGTGAATAAATGGTCAGGAAATATTTTGCATTTAAGCTGAAACCTGAAGAATTAGAGGAGAGTTCTAATTAATTAGAGGAGCACAGGGTAGGGTGGGTGCAAGGAAGGGCCCTGAGGAAGAAAAAAGAAGGCTGGTGTAGCCCTGGGGAGCGAGGGCGAGCCGGGCAAGACGGGTAGCTGGGGAGTCGGAGGCCTTTGTTATGAGGATGGGTGAGGCGGGGACTATCACCTCTATCTCCCTTTTCCAGAGGCGACGTCCCGGGAGTTGGAGAGCAAGTGCCGCGCGCTGGAGTCCCAGCTGGCGGAGCGGTCTGCGGCCAACGCCGAGCTGAGGCGGGAGGTGGCGCAGCGCGAGGCGCTGGTGTCCGCGCTGCGCTGCAGCCTGCGCGCTGAGGAGCGCCGCTTCCTGGAGGAGCTGCGTCGCCGCAGCCACCGCGCCACTGTGCTGGGCACCGAGCTGCAGAAGCACACTGAGGCGGCCGCCTACCTCTCCTGCCAGCTGCATGCCGCGCGCCAGAGACTGCAGACACCGCGCCCGGGCCCCGTCGCTGCGGCCGCCGCCGAGTCCCGGCCCCGCCGGCGCGCTCAACGGGCCCGCCGCCAGCCCGCTGCAGAGGCCGCCTCCAAGGGCCCGGGTCGAGACTGGGCCTCCTGGGACCGCGCGGCAGGCGCTCTGGACGACGTCGACCCCATGCCCGACCCCGCGCTCTTCCTCTACGCCCGGAAGCCCCCGCGGCCCAGCGGCCGCAGCCCCCGCCAGCCGCCTCCCCAGGAGCCCCCGGACCAAACCGACCCACCGGCTGCACCCAGCCCGCCCAGTGCGCCCGGGGCCCCGGAGTAGGCACAGGGCTGGCGGGGTGGAGAGTAGGGGAGGCCGGTCCCCGGCTAGGGACGCAGCCCGGGCCACACATGCAGATCCCAGGGGCCGAGGGAGCCGGCCGCTCCTCCAGAGAGAGAGGGCAGAGGCGGCCCCGGCTCCTCCATCCGTTCCAACCGCCCCCGCCTTTTGTATTTCCCAACTTCTCCGACGCTTCGAGCTCTCCGCTCCCGCGAAGGCGCTCCTCCGCGAGGCTCGGCGAGTGCACCATTTTTGTAGAGGACTAGCAGTACTGATCCTTATCTGGTTCCCACCTTGCCACTGGGAGGGGAGGGTGTGGGGGTCACGCCATACCCCGAGAAAGCTGACAATCTTTTGGCGGGAGGGGAAAGGCTGGGCTGGCCTATAGAAAGGAACCAGAGTGGCACTTAGCACCCCTAGGCCTTCCAACCCGTCCCCATCCCGCGACCTCCCCCAGCCCCGCACGGCTGCTCTTCCTGCCAACGTTTCCTCCAAGGAGAGGCTCGGGTTCAGGGGCTAGAGGCTGGACCTTTTCCTCGGAAGCCGCTTCTCCTCCCTCTACCCCGCAGATAGGTCCTTACAGGTGAGCACCTAACACTTTAGAAGACACTTCCTCCCAGAGACCCTGGTGGGAAATGTGTGTCCTGATGGAAAGTTGAACTTAAGGAAGGTAGGTAGCACCCACAAACCCTTAGAGAGGATTACAGGAGGGTTTGGTGGCAGAGCCTGGTCTAGAGCTGTCTTCTGCTCGGTTCATCCACAGGACGCCAAATGAGAGATTTAGACTGGGCGCTGTGTTGGGGAGTGAGGGAACGCTGGCAAGTTGGCTGCCCTGTCAGGCCTATGGAGGAGCAGAAACTGCCTTCAGGAGGTAGCTGGGAACCTGAAAGTGCCCTGGGAGTTTCCTAGTCCTGTTTATTGGTGCTAATTTTGCCCAGCTTCCTAACGAGCTGGGTGCACCCAGAGGCTGGAAGAAAGGCCCAGTTTCTTGGAAGTGGAAGTTGTTGATAGAGCTCTGTCTGACGGTGGGGTGCTCAGTGCCCTTCTGTCTAGGTTGGGGAGTGGCGAAATGCGAAGTGGAATGCCCCACCTCCTAACTGCATTTCTCTCCAGCTCCTCTCTCATGACCAAAGGCAGTTCCAGTCCAGCTCATTGCCTTCACCCCACCCCAAGCTCAGCCTCAAAAGAAAGACAAACCCATAGAACCTCCACCCTGCCCACCCCCATGCCATCCCTCCTCTGTTGGTCCCGCATCGAGTCCTAAGTGCCTGTGAGGTCTTCCAGGGGCTGCAGAGGGAGGACATGGGGCAGGGAGAGGTCTTTACCTCACTCGCAAATAGCCCATCCTGGCAGGTCCTGACCCTGGTTGAGGCTGAGCTTTCTGTGTGTCACCCAGGGATCCATGAGGTGAGCAGAGCCAATCACTAGGGGTGATGAACCCTTCTCCCATCACAGCCCCGATGAAGAAGAGGGGGAGAAATCCCCAATCATACCTTATTTCGCTGTATGTTAGAGGGAGCAGGAAATAGCACATTCCCAGTCCACAAATGCAGTCCCCTTCCCAAGCCTGTGACACTCAGGACTGCTGAGGCCTCTGAGCAATAACCAGCCTGATCTAGGTGTCCAGCTACTGGGACGCAGAGGCCAAGGTGTGGGCACCCTTGGGATAGACAGTGCTCTCCAGTCTAACTTGGGCCACAGGAGTGGCCTAGGGGCCTTGCTCTGCCTGCCCCCATCCCTAACCCCTGCCCCTGCCAGTCTCTGTGGTTGTGCCTCTGCTCTCTCTCTTCCCTCAAGTGTGGGTGACTCACCGTACCCTCACTCTGTCACTTCCCTTTCAGAGCATGTCTATATGAGGAGGCCTCTCTCCTCTCTTGGCTGCACTCACTTGAAGGGGGCCAGAGGATTGTGGGAAGGAGGGAAAGGGTACCTTTCTGGAGGTGCCTATCCAGACCCTCATCTCCCATAACCACACTTTTGGGGTGAACAGGGTGACTTTGTTACGTCGATTCTTCTACAGAGATGATAAAGTACTTTATCTACCCACCTACCCATCCACTAAAAGCCATAGCTATGCCCTCCTGGCCTACCCCCCAGCTCTATAGCAATAGCCTTCTTCCCCCTTTCCTTCTGAACCCAAGATGTCTGCTGGGGACCCCTACCATATCCCAACCCCAGGGATCCTCAGGTGACCTACCTGTCTCTCCCCAAGTGACCCCCATCAGCACCTCCCAACTCCTGTCTCGCTTCCAACAACCAGTGATAATGACACTTAATTGTTTGTGGAGTGCTTGGAGATCCCTCAGATGAAAGGTTCTGAGTGCTGGGGCGGTTGACTAGACTCAGCTGAGGTGTTGGGGGTGCCTGGGAAAGGAAATAAGGCAACCCTCCCTGCCCTACTAGGGGAGGGGCAGAGGCAGATGCAAGGCTTCCAATTTTAACAGACATTCCCCTTCCCCATCTCTCACCTGGAAATCATGGACTAGAGACTTCCCTCCACCTCCCTGCCCTGGGGGTTGGAACAGAACCCTAAGGGCAGAAGAATGGGACTTGGAGTCAGTGACCTGGGCTTGGCCTCAGGCGTCCAAAACTCAGCCTCGGGGCCTGGGGAAGTCCCTGCCCCCTACCCTAGCCTGGGGAACCCATCCTCCCTCAAGCCCCTGGAACACCTAGGTGACCAGAAGGGAAAGGATTGTTCCTCCTCCCCCCTTCTCTGCTGCAGGGATCCCCATTGGGAGAGGGGCATGGCGACATGGACAGTCAGGGGCCCTTGTTGGAGCTCCAGCCTCACCCCAAATGTGGACAGACCCAGGAAGGAGAGCTGAAGCTGGGGATCCCTCCCTGATCTGGAAACGAGCCAGGGAACCAGTGGGCAATACAGCATGAGGCTGTGTACCTCTGCCTCCCTCATATCCCACCCAGAGTGGCCTGCAGTTTGGGCGACCAGTCCAAGGCTGAAATGGGGTAGCCCTTCCTCAAACAAGCAGCAGAATGGGGGCCTCCTTTGTGGAGAGGAAGGAGGCCTAGTGGGAGTAGAGCAGTATCTCCGCGCAGAGAGCCGGGGATGGGTAAGCACCCGCTCACTGAGGTACCAGCCTTGAATGGGGGACATGCAGGGCAGGGCAGAAGCATCCTGCTCCCAATTCTCTGTTGGCTGTGCTTTTTAATCCAATGCTTTTCAGAGTGTATTCACTCACCCACAGAAATAGAGCCCTATGCTTTAGGGGTGACTGTCATATGCCTTATTCTTAATAAAATACCTGAAAAACACACAGACCTCTTCTCTGTGGCAATCCGCCCCACTTCGCCCCTGTGCCGGAAGGTAGAGGAGAGGATGTGGAGGAGAGAGTGGTTTGGGAGTCAGCCAGGGGACTGGGTGACACTGGGAGTTGAGATTCTGGAGTCCCCTCAGTAAATATTCCTCACATCAGGCAGAAGATGCTCATCTGAGATGTCCCCGATGCTCAGGCTAGTCCTGTCTCCATGTCACTCCAATTTAAATGAAAAAAAAAGAGAGAGACCTTACATCAGAGGCTCCTGGCTAGAGTTGGGAGGGATAGATTGGAAGCGCCCCATGCCTGGAGTTGCCCATTCCTGGCCCAGAAAGAATCCTGGCATTGTAGCACCTTTGGCCATGCCAGACTCCTTCGCTGACACCTACCCCCATATGATCCAGCTGCAAGAAGCCCGACATCGAAGAGAAGAGCCCTATTCTTATCCTTCACTAATGTCAGTTACCCTGGGACTGCAATTTGACAGCTCAGCACACCCAGCACCCACAAGAACTAAAGCGTGTACAGTAAGTCCCTGACTTATGAACATTCGAGTTGCGAACTTTCACAGATGCAGCCAATCATGCACCCAAGTCGAACTTAGGAACGAATCCGACTTTCGAACATTCTCCCTGAACAGAACTCATTCATAAGTCGGGGACTTACTGGACATTTTCAGTGTAGTTCTGTGTTGTGGAAGGCTCTAGCAGAAAAAGCAGCAGCTCTGTAGTCTAAGGCTGCAGGAGGCATATTAGTTTTGCTCGAACCCTTTTTTTTTAAGATTTTTTTTAAAAGATTTTTATGGGGGAATTGGGGGGATGGGAACAGTGCTGGGGAATTGGGGGAAGGGGAACAAACAAGTTGCTGTTGTTTTTGTTCTTCAGTCTAGTTGTGGAGGACATTGCTTCACTGGCCCAAGTTGGTACCATCATTGTGCTCTTCCAGGGCAAGGCAGATCAGTCGCCGGCTTCTGGACGGCCACTCACTGCAGCTGCTGGCCGCTCACGCTGGCTGCTGGCTACACACGGTAGCCCATGGCAACCCACTGCCACAGGGGCTGCAGCCTACACCGTCCGTCGCCAGCGACTGACGGCAGCCCAGCTCCAGGTTGAGCTGTTGTCCAGCATCTTAACTGTAGAGGGCAGTGTCACTGGCCCTCATATGTGGGATCCGAACCGGGGCCTTCTGGCATCCCAAGCCAGTTCTTAACCATCGTGCCACTCAGCCGGCCCTTTTTTGAAGATTTTTATTTTTATTTTTTTTATTGGGGAATTGGGGGGATGGGAACAGTGCTGGGGAATTGGGGGAAGGGGAACAAACAAGTTGCTGTTCTTTTTGTTCTTCAGTCTAGTTGTGGAGGACATTGCTTCACTGGCCCAAGTTGGTACCATCATTGTGCTCTTCCAGGGCAAGGCAGATCAGTCGCCGGCTTCTGGACGGCCGCTCACTGCAGCTGCTGGCTGCTCACGCTGGCTGCTGGCTACACACGGTAGCCCATGGCAACCCACTGCAGTAGGGGCTGCAGCCTACGCTGTGGCAGGCAACTCACAGAAGCCCAGCTCCAGGTCGAGCTGTTGTTCAGCATCTTAGCTGTAGGGGGCAGTGTCACGGGCCCTCATATGTGGGATCCAAACCGGGGCCCTCTGGCATCCCAAGCCAGCTGTTAACCATTGTGCCACTCACCCAGCCCTCGAACCCTTCTTCTGATAACAGGACCCATGGCTTCCTTTTGGGCAACTGCCTTCCCATCTCAGTCCATGTGTTGGGGGGGGGCGGGGTGCTGACCCCACACACGTGACCCAGGTAAGGTAGGTCACACTGAATGGGTTGTGGTTGAGCACATGATTCACTCTGAGCCAATGAGAGTTGACCTCAAGACTTGTACTGGAACGAGTCAACACACCAAGTTAGGTGCTATGGATATAGCAGGGAACAAAATGGGATGATTGAGGACAAACTCTTGGGTCGCTAAAATGGCACCAGATCAGCCTGGACGTCTGGCAGGCTTTTTGCCACCACAGGGGCTGCCCGAGTAGAAAGCACCACAAAAAAAGCAGAACCAACTGTAATGGAGACAATTCCTGAGAATTAAGCGGTCTGGATCCAGCTATGCCTGCAGCCCATATACCCTTGCCCTTTTCAGTTATACAGACCAATAAGCCCCTTCCCCCACTTTTGTACTTAAGTGGTCAGCATTAATTTGTGGGGGGTTTTCTACTTTTTATTTTAAACAATTTTAGACTTAAGAGAAAAGTTGCAATACTAATACAGAGTTCCTATATATCTTTCACCTAGCTTTCCCTAATGTTAACATCTTACTTTATTATAGTACAATTATCAAAACCAAGAAGTTAACATTGGTACATGACTATTAACTAAACCACAAACTTTATGTGAATTTCATCAGTTTCCCCACTAGGGTCCTCTTTCTGTCCCAGGATCCCATCGCATTTAGTTATTTTTTCTTAGTTTCCTCCAATCTGTGACATACTTTTAAAAGCCATTTTGTGTTGAGTTTTAGTGCCTTGCTAACTTCCGGAGTCCTATGATGTTCAAGAACAATCAGTGAGGGAAAAACAAGTGGATGCCAACCAATAACATACATTGAATAAAATATTCACAGAGCTCTGGGAAGGGAGTGACCACTTCCAGCTGCCAAGACTAAGAAGGAATTTAATAGACACAGTGGTATCTGAGTTTAATTTGGTAGACCTGGGATGGTTTCCACATCTGTCCCCAACTGAGTTGTTCAAGGTCACATAGTGAAAAAGTCAGGGATGGAGCTAGACTTGAAGTCACATATTTTGGTTCCTATGCAGTGTGTCAATGTGGAACAGGCAGTCAGGCCCAGTCTGTCATATCTCAGTTCCTTGCTCCAGCTTCTGGGGACCAGGTTTGAACCTAGGTTGTGCTGGGAAGCCCAGAAAGTACAGCCCAGGCCTCTGCTTGTCTCTGACCTTTTATCTCAGCAAGGAGAGGGAAGGCCCAGCCCTGGGTAAACATCTGCCCAGGATTCTGGGGTCCCGTGCACAATTTGAGGAAAAGAAGACAGGGAAGGGAGAGAAGGGTCTTAGGGTCCCCCCCCCGGATCCCTGAGGGTGCTCTGCTGAGCCCAGCCAGAATCACAGTGTGGGGTGAAGATGTACAATATCATCATCAGATAACTCAGAGATGATCCATGCAAACCCCTCATTTTGCAGATCGGAAGACTGAGGCCCAGGACTGACTATCATCCTTTACCTCCTGGCAGTTCTGCCCACACAGGTTTGGGGTTGAGGAAGGTGGAGCATTACCTCTCTTATAGGTCCCTAGAGTCAGGCCAGTGAGGTAGGGGGGAACCCTCCTGCTGAGGGTTGGAGCTCCTGTTCACCGTTCCAACCCCTTGGGAATGCTGAACGGGGGGGGTGGGGAATAGGAATGCCCAGCTGAGTGGGTACATCCATCATAACAATAATTAGGGAGGTGGGAGGCTTTAAGCAGGCTAATTATGTAGGCTAGGTCTCAGCCTTGATAAACCTCCCTCTGTATTTACTTAGCATCTTTACCCAGGGGCCCTAAAGATGGGGAAACTGAGGTACTCAGGAGTGCCATCCAGGCAGCCCTGTGGATGGGGACTGTGTAACAAGAGTCTGCTAGGGAAAGGAGAAGGGGATCCACAGACGTCAAGTTATAGGTTCTAAGGCTGCTGGGACCACTTAGTCACCAGTACCCAGACTGACCAGTAGGCACTCACAGCCCCTGACTTTGAGAAGGACAGGGCAGAAAGGCCAAGGGAACAGTACAGCCTTTTCCAGGGCTCAGCCTGGTGGGTCTCAGCCAGGCATTGTGGAACTTAGGATACAAAGGTCAAAGCACAGTGTACACAAAGAGGATATCTGCAAGGAAAGCCCAGATATTATAAATAATGATGGGGATCAAAGGTGAAAGGCTGGGCTGCTAGAAACGCTCCCCCCTCAGCATTCTGTGGAGCCCTCAAAAGGACTGCTTGGGGTGGCCAGTTAGCTCAGTTGGTTAGAGTGTGGTGCTGATAACACCAACGTTGCTGGTTCGTTCCCTGCATGAGCCACTGTGAGCTGCACCCTTCTTGAAAAAAAAAAAACACACAAAAGGGCCGGGCGAAGGGCGCGATGATTAAGAACTGGTTTGGGATGCCAGAGGGCCCCTGTTCAGAGCCCACATATGAGGGCCAGTGACACTGCCCTCTACAGCTAAGATGCTGAACAACAGCTCAACCTGGAGCTGGGCTGCCGTGAGTCGCCAGCGATGGCATAGGCTGCAGTGCCTGTGGCAGTGGGTTGCCATGAGCTACCATGTGTAGCCAGCAGCCATCGTGAGCGGCCAGCAGCCGCAGTGAGCGGCCTTCCAGAAGCCGGCGACTGATGTGCCTCGCCTGGGAAGAGCGCAATGATGGTGCCAGCTTGGGCCGGTGAAGCAACATCCTCCACAACTAGACTGAAGAACAAAACGACAGCAACTTGTCTGTTCCCCTTCCCCCAATTTCCCAATAAAAATCTTTAAAAAAAAAAAAAAAGGACTGCTTGGCACTCCAGGTCATCCATTCAACCAACACCATTAAACACCTACAATGCATCAGACTCTGAGAAGATGCGGGGGATACCCAGATAAATAGGGTATGGTCCTTGTCTTCAAGAAGACCCCCAGTCTAGCAGCTAGACTCCTCACCTGAGAACCAGACATCCCAGTTTGGCCAGGATAGTCTCGGTTTATGCCCGTTGCCCCAATGTCATTACTGGTAGTCTACTTTCATTCTGAAAAGTGTCCTGGTTTAGATGATAAATTATATGGTCACCTTAACCATAGCACAATGTATAGGCAAAGGTGGAAATATTCAGGGAAAGTGGTGGCAGTAGTTGCTGTTGAGACTGATAAAAAGACATTGATAGAGGCAGCTTGAAAGCAACAATCTGTTTAATATGTGATCAGAGGTCAGACCACCTGACTATAGAGAAAGTGATCAGGATATCACACAT